ATTTGAAACATCCTATTTGATGAAAAGCAGAAATTCTGTTTCCCCAGTTGTTTAAACAAAATAACTTTCACTCAATTTATTTTAATACATGATTCCCAAGTGTTAGCATAGAATGATGAATGAAGGAGTGAGTGAAATTCATTTATGTCTGTTATTTCTTGGTTAATTAAAAACTAACTTGTAATACAAGACATATCCAATAATTTACACATCACTTACATAGCTTTCAATGAATCTGCTCTTCAAGATAAACATTACATATTTTTAAAATTTATTTATTTTTCTCATTTTCAAAAATATTTGTCACTATAAAATACAGAAAAAAGAAAAGAAAATCAAAACCTGACAATATTTTTATTAATTCATTCTTAAGCTTTACTATATACTTATCTATTTCTTTTCCATAGTTGTGATTTACTCTACATTTATACTTTTTTATTTTGCTTTATATTTTAAATTAATACAGTGCAGATTATTGAATATCTTCCTTATTCAATGCTACTTTTTGTTTTATCAAAAATGGCAGTCACTACTGAGTATACTTTTAAAATAATATAAACAATTTTTAAATATTATGTAGATTTAGATGCCTATATAATGTGCCATCTGATGATTCTAAGTTTATACACTTTTTATCTCTTTCCAAATAATTGGATCTTATCTCCAATTTTTAAGTTATTTAGCATTATAAAGTATTCCACTATATTTCAGTTTGTTCTCTTAGGATAGATTTCCATAAAGTAAATTACTAGGTAAAAAGTTATGAACACTTTTTACATTCCTCAATATNAATTGAATCCAGCTGGTCTAAAATGTCATTTAAGGCCAGTTTCCGTGTTGATTTTCTGTCTGGCGGATCTGTCCATTGGTGACAACGGAGTGTTGAAGTCCCCTACTACGATAGTGTTGCTGTTGATCTCCGTCTTTATGTCTGTCAAAATCTGTTTTATGTACTTAGGAGCTCCTATGTTGGATGCATAAATGTTTACTAGGGTTATGTCCTCTTGTTGAATTGATCCTTTTATTATTATGTACTGTCCCTCTTTGTCTTTTATTGTAGTCTTCATTTTAAAGTCTATTTTGTCTGAAATAAGTATTGCTACTCCTGCTTTTTCCTCATTTCCAGTTGTGTGAAATATCTTATTCCATCCCTTTACTTTCAGTCTGTGTGTGTCTTTAGATCTGAGATGAGTCTCTTGTAAACAGCATATGCATGGGTCCTGTTTTCTTATCCATTCAGTCTTTTGATCAGAGCATTTAATCCATTCACATTTAAAGTGATTATTGATAGGTGCATATTTATTGCCATTTTGTTATTTGTATTATTTGATCTTTCTGGGTTATCTTGTTTTCCCCTTTATTCTGTTTAAAAAAGCCCCTTTAGCATTTCTTGCAATGCTGGCTTGGTGGCAATGAATTCCTTAAGTTTATTCTTTTCTGAGAAGGTGTTTATCTCTCCTTCAATTTTAAGTGATAGCCGTGCTGGTTAGAGCAATCTTGGTTGTAGGTCTTTATTTTGCATCACTTTGAATATTTCCTGACACTCCCTTCTGGCCTGCAGAGTTTCTGTAGAAAATCAGCTGTTAGTCATANTATGAATATTTCATGAGGTATTTTACATGAAAATGTAAGTGTGTTAACTAAGGTTTATGGTTTCACTAAATGAAGTAAAAGAGAAATTGCTGTATTTTACTTAAGAAGATGTATACTTTTATTCCTCTGAAGACAAATTCATGAATGAAATTATTGGATGGAATTTTAGTAGCAAATTTTGTGAGCCAAGGTTAGGTCATGGAGAGGAAGGCTGACTTTACAACTTAAGAGTCAAGATCGGGTAAGCATCTGACTGTTCTGATGTTCTGACCCATCAAGATGTTGGTGACCGTAGTGGCAGTGGATGAAAGGATAGTAAGGTGGCAGCACCAACTTGGAATTTTACTGCTTGAAGTTGATTTAAAGATCCACTTATTATTAAGAAATAATTGTTAAATGTCTTTTCCCCTTTTAAGAAAAAAAGAAAGTGAGATGCACATCACATTCAAAGTGAAACCTTAATATTAATTTTATTTATCAAGAACCAACAGTTTAGATAAGTTATACTACATTTCCCTCAGCCAATCATTAGGTTGTTTTTTTTTCTAAATTTTTCTTATATTTGTTAAATATGTTTTTGATTCTTTTTTATTGAGGTATAGTGGACATCAGCAAGATGTAGACATTTAAATTATACAATTATGTGTTGACATATGTGCCTACCCATGAAACCATCATAACAATAATTATGAAGAACCTGCCTCTCCTTCTAGCCTCTCTATACAACTTTCCCCAACTGCATCCCTATTTATTAATTCCAGCTTTTTTTTTTTTGGTAGATTTCATAAGATCTGTTACAGTTTTACTTTTTCTTTCCCAATCTGGGTGCCTCTTCTTTCTTTTTTGCCTTATTGCACTGGCTAGAACCTGCAGTACAGGTTGAATAGAAATGGTAAGAGCAGATATTCTTGATTTGCCCACCCCAGTCTTAGGGGGGGAAATATTATTTTATTTCACCATTAAGTCTGATGCTAGCTATAGGTTTCTATATCTTTATCAGGTTCAGCAAATTTTCTATTTTTAGTTTACTGATAGTTGTTATCAGGAATCAATATTTAATTTTTGTGCCATATTTTTCCTTTGTCTCTGATGATCATGTGTTCTTTGTTGCTCTTGATCAACCATTAACTCTTGGACACATTTTATTTTATAAATAAGAGGGATGTGTGTGTATCTGTATGTGTGTGTGTGTGTGTGTGGAGAGAGAGAGAGAGAGAGAGTCTGGTATATTTCACTCACCTGATCCTAGAACTCATACTTAGGTGAATCTTTCCTTATTACCTCCACCTGTAATATCCAAGGGACATGCAAGGGCCACCACATGTTGACACCTTATTACCATTTTGAAATCCATCCTTCCTTTTCCCTCTTGACTTAAACCCCTTTGTCCTCCATCTAGATCACTGCTAATCTTACTGCTAGTCTTGCATGCTAATCAAATTCTCATACAGTAGCCAAAATAACCTTTCTTAAATGTTAGAGTTAGTAATCTCTGATTTAGGAATTCACCAATGGCTTCCATTTCTTAAAGGTACAATACAAGCTATAACTTCCCACACACTAGCACACTAGTCCTGAAAGATATAAACCAGACCTATGTCGCCATGGCATTGGGCCATGTGGATTCCCTCTACCATGTTCCTGAACTATCCCTTCATGCTTTGGCATGTGCTTCTCCTGACTGTGTAACCATGTTCCTTGTTTTGGCCCATCACTGCTCCATAAGGAGGCCTTCACAGCTCCCTACCCTGCATTTCCTTGGCTCATTAAACTACCAGCTGGAATACTTTTTATGGATTTACTGATTGAGAGTCTTTACATTAGACCTTCACAGCAGGCAGTGTGCCTGTTAGCTGTCTCCTTTATTTTCTTTATATGTCACCTATCACTGTAAGCAGCACAGGTATATTTCAATACTTCTTTGTGGAAGGGAGGGAGAAAAATGGAAGGAAGGAAGGGAGGAAGGAAGGAAAGAAGGGAGGGAGAAAAATGGAAGGAAGGAAAGGAGGAAGGAAGGAAAGAAGGGAGGGAGAAAAAATTTATATTAATTCATTAACGTAACTTGACAAATTGTGAGAATTCAAAAGTTGTGGGAAAATAAATAATGAATAAATCAATGAAATAAAGTTAGGTATGAATTCACAGGCTCTCATTTTCAATTACAATAAGTTTGATGTTCTACCCCTACAGGAAGTGGTGACTTAGGGTAATAATGAGGGTGAAGTGAGCAGCCTGCAGGAAAATGGCACTTCCCGCCCCCTTAATGTCACACTGTGGGCAAGCTGTTATAGCTGTTCTGGTAAAGCACATCTGAAGACAGAGGAAAGGGACATTTAGCTTTCAGTCACTAAGGGGACAGAGTGCATACAATATTTTTTTAAATGAAACTTTATATGTAAGTAATAATTAGTTGTATTTAATGGTTAATTTTGCTATGTCTGAGCCGTCCTGCAAATAAAAATTCTGTAATCGTTTTGACAATAGGGAATAGTCAAGAACTCATCTAAAATTGAAGGAAGGACAGAGAGCAGGGGTAACCAGGCATCTTTTCCACCTAAATCTGTCAGATCCTCCCAAGGGGTTTCTTCCAAGCTCAATTTAGGCTGAATCAACACATATGACCCACAGCAGGGTCAGAGTGAGAAGGGTTAAGTAGACCTGGATTGGAACCGTGGCTGCATATCAGAGGCATGCGTGCTTAACGTCACTGAACCTGTCTCCTCATTTGTGAAATGCAGATAATAATTTTACCTTAGAGTATTAAAAATGGAGGTTATAAAATTCCTGCTGTGTAGATAGTAGACACTTGAAAATGACAGCTAAAATGATGATTTCTTCTCCTTTGGCTTTACCTGCAGACTTATCTAACTCACTGTGCACACTGCCTTCCCTTTACTTTCCCAGTTCACTGTCCTCCAAAACAGTGCTCTAAATCCACTTCCTCCATTCAAGAACAATTGAAATGCAGAGAATATGTGTTATTTTAAAATGTGATAACCTCCATTTTCAATGTTATTCTTGCGGCCATTAGGATAGAGTTCCTTTTATTATTTAATTGTTCATGTCCTGAAAACATGTCATTTTATGTCTAGAAGGGGGTGTGCCTATCAACTAACTCAGAATTTGGTCCTGGAATTTGTGGGCAAAGCTTGAAATTTCTTCACAAGCCCAGCAGAATTCTGGGCCTTTACCTTTAGAATAGAGAGAGCTGGATTGCTTGCAGAACATTTTGAGGCATAGATGCCATCTCGCTTTCCTCTCCCCTTCACAGATGATAGCAAGCCTCGGCTCAGTAGCAGCCCACCCTCGGCCACCCTGGGCAGCCTCCTGGATGACCAGCACTGGCACTTAGTCCTCATCGAGCGGGTTGGCAAGCAGGTGAACTTCACCGTGGACAAGTCCATGCAGCACTTCCGGACCAAGGGTGAGGCAGATGCCTTAGACATAGATTATGAGGTGAGTTGACACTTCCTACAGATCCCCAGGAGCCTTGCTCAGGATCAGTATGAAAATCAGTAAACAGAGGAGCAATAGAGAGAAGATGTGGAGCCCTGAGAAATCTTACCCTGTGCTTATCTTCCCCTCAATGGAAACCAGGCAGCCTATAGTGGAGGAGTCTGTGGAGGGAAACTGAGCAGTGAGTGTGGGGAAGATTCCTGGGCAACAATGATGGTGGCCCACAAGACATCAGCTAATTGTGCACATTTTTATGCCCGCAAGTCTCCTTTGTATTTTCTTATTTTATTTATTTATTTCTGTTTGTAGCACCTTTTATCACTGTTTAGTCTCTTGGTTAATTCAGTCACCTTTTTTTCAAAAATTAAATTAAATTAGCTGGGATAATGGAAGATATAGGATTATACTAAGAAGTGTCACATGTCAATGATAGTCATACCTCAATAAAAAAGGAATTATAAATAAAATCCAAAAATATCTAGAATCTACACTGTAGGCACTTGTCTTTAACCTTCGTTCCTAAGCAAACTTTTAACTAACACCCTTGGACAGTTGTTTCTTTCTCAGTTTCTTAGAGAAGAGGCACAGTGACATGCATCAATGCTATGAAACTGTATACTACTGTATACCAGGCTCTGCTCTAGGCAATAAAATATGGAGATTACAGGTAGAGTTCTATAAACGGAGTCTGGCCTGGAGTGACTGGTACAGAACAAGGAGGTGAAAGCCACAGTAGAGAACAGCACTGGGCATTGTGTGAAACTAAGGAGAGAGCACATGTTAGCCAGATGAGGAAGGTCAGAAAGGTAGGCCAGCCAGAGATCAATGCAGGGCACAGGGCATGAATGTCACAGCCCAATATTTATGGGATTTGAAACAATAGACGCGCAGTGGAGTGTTGGCATCAGCTAGTACCAACTCATGAGGGCCGACTGGGAGACTTTCAGGAATTTTGTAAGCTGGCTGGTAAATACAGTCATTATAAAAAAATAGGTTATATAAATTTAGGATTCAATAAAGTAATATAAAAAGTAATAAATGCATTGATTCTGAATTATTTTATTATATCTGTCTAGCTATTTATCTCTATAACTCTATACATCTAACTATAGGTGCACAAGGTTTTGTTTTATTTTGTTTTGTTTTACTGCTGCTACAACTGTGTGGTGGAAATGCATTATATTGAGCTGTTACAGTGCATCTCTTCCCAATTCCATATTCAGTAACATTCCTTTTAGAGTTTGAAATCTACCATGGTGGGAATATTTACACCATGAATATTGGCACATATAAATCAGAGTGATTTATTGTTCTGTTTATTGTCTAGATCAGTGATGGGCAAACTACAACCTGTAGGCCTAGTCTGTTTTCCTCTAGCCTGTGTGCTAAGAAAAATTTTTATATTTGTAAAGGGTTGATAAAGAAATATGAAAAATAATATGTGACAGAGACTGTATATAATTACAGATAAAAGAGTTTAGTGAAAAGTCAACAAAAACATACTATAAGAATCAATTGGTTATATGGAATTTACAATAGATACTATTGAATATTATTATTTTTGAATTGTATCTACACATTGTTTATATCAGTAAAATAATCTAATGTTTGTACACATGCACATGCATATACACACATGTACATGTCTCTCTGTTGGGGGGGTGCCCTGAATAGCCAAATTTTAAGCCTTTATCAATACAACACTTGAAGCAGGGGATAGTGCAAGATAAAACATAAGAATGAGGGATGACCCAGGTGATGATGGGCCATGTGAACCATGTTAAGAAAGTTAAATTGTGGAGTATGAGGAGCCACAAAATGTTTTTTTGCAGGGTTGTGACATGACCAGTTTTAGGCTAGTAATTCTGAATGTATGTTTCAGCAGCCAGCCCAATTAGCATCCTATGGAAATTTGTTAAAAACAGAAATACTCAGGTCACACCTAAATCTACCTAATCAGAAATTCTGGTAGAGGAGCTCAAGAACCCATTATTAAAACTCCTTCAGGTGACTTTGAGGTACCCTAACATTTGAGAACCACCATTTTAGAGCAGTTATTCTGAAGCAGTTACACAGTAGCTTAGACTTATGAGTAGGTGAGAAGAGGGGGGTGCTGGACAGATGGTTGAAACCCTATTAGGAGACAATTTCAATCACTGATGGGATACAGAATAGAAGAATGGAGGTGGAGATGAGTAACTGAAAACTTAAGGTCTGACTTATTTTTTATTCAGTCAATACCATGAGCTATAAGAAAGATTTTCTCTTGATCCTAACACTAGTTTAGAATACTATTGATAAGATATTCCATTCATTAATTTCAAAAGAAAATTTGTCACTCTGACTCAGAGTGCAGATACCCAGTAGATTTTTTTTAAGGTTGCTGATAACTGGAAATCTTTGAATATCAATCATTCTCATTCTTCAACTTTGTTTAAATGATTCAAAAAAAACAAAAAAATACACACAATATTGGGATGATGTTAAAGCAAAGGGAAAACTTTTATGAACTTGAGGACAACAAAAAACATAAAATCATTTTAAGGTTCAGTATTTCCCTAAATACCTTACCACTAATGGCATAAGAGATGGTTCTAAATTTCACCTAGTTGCCTGATTTAACATTAACTTTTAAGTTTATGTCTATCTGTCTGTGGTTTGCTGTGTAGAGAATCAGTATGGAATCACAGCTGCATAGCATTAAAGTGAATGTCAGTACTTGGGGGAAGAAATCCAATGAAGTCATTCAGTTTATGAAGTTGGAACAGATTTTTTTTCATGAAATGCCCAAATTTCTTGGTACCTCATTAAAAGAGTTTCCTAGGAAACAAATACCTTGAGATGTTCCCATGAAGCAACCTCTGCTTCATAGAATTCTAGCCCTTTCCAGAGTGTGAAGCCAACTTCCTCCAATGTTCATAAAAGAAGACAGATTGACTGTAACAGTGACGTTAGATGTTGACTTTACTGAAATGCAAGAGACATGCACAGGAGTCTCCAGAACAGCTAGAGTTCTCCAGTCTTTGAAGATTCTTCTTGGAGAAGAAGAGCACTGGGAACCAGAGTCCTGTGTTGTAATCACTTTAGCACTAACTAGTTGTATAAATCTGGAAAATGAAAACTCTAAATTTCTGTAACTCAGAAGCAATATTTGCACCTTTAATGGAAGGAATAGAGCTAAATAACATATCTAAACATACAGTTAATTTTATTAAAATATTGTTAATTAATCAGAATCTGCACTACTGATTTGATTTCTACACATATGAGCCCTGGAAACTACCAGCTAGAAGGATTACTGAATTCAGGTTCTGGGTTCCAATGACTCATTGTCAAAACATATACCGCTCTTCTAGAGCTCCACCCTATCAAATTCTACATCCAGGCTAATTATATTATAGAAACCAATGTTCCTTTTGAAATTTATCATGCTGTGATCATATCTGGCAAGAAAATTTGGTAGCTTTTACCCCTCCATTGTAGAGTACCTTAGGGATATCAACCAAGTGGTATGTGACTTTCTATGAGGCATCTACTAGGGCTTCTGCTACATTAGGATATATGCAGTTCTCTGCTTCCCCTCCCACTTAGAAGGTGAAAACAAACAAGAGCTCATGGAATATTTTGTCAAAAATAAAACAGAAAGAATGTTGGTCTTTGCTTTTCATTGGAATGCCATCCCAGCTCACATCACTCAGCCCATGTGACTTTCTCCAAATGCTTGTGAGAGAGACTGTAGCAATTCTCTTCATTTCCAGCCTGGAGCAGAAGAGCTTCAGAAGAAATTTTTAAGATCTCAGAGATCCAATTTCTCTGAGATCCTTGTAATTCAAGAAGTCTTTTCTTACCAAGAGCACTTCGTGATTCTCTTTTGCATATCTGTCTTATAAGCTCCAAACTATTAAAAACATATTTTCAAAGTATATGATTCACATGTCATCCATCATGTTATAAACACTGAATGGCATTTTACAAAATCACAAATATATTTTAATAAGACTTCTTAGAAAAAGAAAAACTAGATTAAATTAAACCCTGTGATACACACACACACACACACACATATGTATGTATATGTATATATTCTTCAAACATGTTTTATCAAAGTTTTAAAGAAAATATGAGATAGTACTTTTACAACTGAATATTGTCATATTCTAAATATGACATAAATCTTAAAAACCTGGAAATAAAATATATGAACAATTTTGTCAATATAAAAATATATATCCTCATGAACTTCCACAAAAATGCATGTATAATGACATCACCCCCCAAATAACTCGAAAACACACTTCAAATTTTAATTAGTAAATAAAAACCTCCTACAGGTTATTTTAAAAAGGTAATTCAGTGAAAAAATAGATAAAGAACATAAATATATTAAAAATACATATTGCTCTCAAGTATATGAAAAGATAATCAACTTGATTCAAAAAGATAAATGCAAATTCATGGTTGAATGATATTTTTAACTTAGATTGCGAAGACCAAAATCTGTATAATGTTGGCAAGGACATGAAGAAACAGAAGTATTTCATACATTGTTTGTGGGACTGTACTTAATACAGTATCATAGAAAGGGCGATATCATTCCAAGTTGGAAACACACTCTGACCCAACAACTCTATTTCTAGCTATTTATCCTACAATTATACACAAATGTGTGCAATTGGCAATATTGTATGAATGATAAAAAATTTGAAATTTCCCCAAAATCCACCAAAAGGGGGTTAATTAAAAGTTATCTTAGTCCACAGTGAAACAGTTCTGCCAGGGTGCCCGGTGACCTGGCACCACTATCCACATAAGATATGCACGACAGGTGATCTGGGTCTCGGCAGGGCACCTTGTGATTCTCCTGAAACACAAATGAATGGAGGTCTAGAAAGAGACTCCAAGTCCATCTCCCACATGCATCGTGCCTCATACAAGGTTGCCACATTACAGTTTCTCATTGCCTCCTAGGTTCTGATGAGGTTTTCCACTCTTCCCTCTGA